ATATACTTCGACTGGGACTGGCTCATAAAAGTTCAGATCGAGCCCCCCTTGTGGTTTGTTCCGGTGTGGAAGAAGAATGGAGAAGGTGTTTTCAATGGACTCGGTCACCAGGCTGAAAGCCTGGTCCTCGCGGTCCACCGGACAAAAACCCAGCTGTCGAAAGCCTCTCTCAGTGGCTTCCAGCTTTCGAAGCCAGGAGTTTGCACGCCTCACGAAGTTCCTGGTGCTTTTCGACCGCCCCACGCCGGAGCAGCGCCAGGTGCGGAGCAGGGCGAACGAGGAGGGCGATTCCAGTTCAATGACTTCAAGTGATCAGTAAATAATAGGCCATGACATGGATGATTTGAGACAGTCACCCAGGAAAAGCCACCACCTGAGATGGAAGTCCTGATCCATCCAACGAGAAGTGAAACACAGCGAGTCACGTCTATGATGGTTCACGATGGTTCACGTCTAATTATGATGTCATGCTTCCTGTCCCCAAAGGTATCCAATAGTGCCTTCCTTTGAGGACGTTTTTGTTGGCAGTGTAGTCCCGCAAGCCTTGGTTTGCTGTGACTGTGGTACAGGACAGTCTTTTCGACCCGAGTAGAAAGAATTGATCAGAAATTGCGTTCAAATCGATGTGGGAAGGAAAATGGTACACGATTGTGTCCTCACCACGCGCGAAAGGGATTGAACTTCACACCCCAAGCACCTGTACTGGGTCATGTGATGTCCCATATTCTCATGGGTTGCGATATACCAGTCAGATGTGCACACATACTACATGATACCTGTTCACCAATGACTTCAACTTAAGAATCAGTGGCAAATTCAGATTGGGCATGTGCAAAATGGTGCAACCGATGCCACATGGGTGATGTGCAATCCATGGTGCAAAATGATGGATTCAAACATGTTGGCATCTGTTGCATGCTTGAACGATGCCACATGTGAACATGGTCCACTGGAACCCGGGAACTCGAAATCAAACGGGCTGCCCGGTGTTCCGTTTCGAGTCCGGCGTTTCGCTGGTCTCGGACTCGACTGGACTCGTCGACGTGATGGAAGACGTGATATACACCACCTTGGAGTCGACCCGTTTCGTAGCTCGGAAAATGGGTACACGTAGTATCACGTAGTAGCTGTTTTTATATAGGGTCATGTCATGTCATGTCCCATTTTCTAGGCTACTTTCGAGGGTCCGAGTCCAGGTATACATTGAGCCGTCATTGTTAGATTGATATTGCGTATGACCATACAATCTGTACATGGTAACTATTTACATGTATGACCATGACTTTTACCGTTGTATGTAGACATGCATTTAGTAAATCAATCCCATGCAACTCCTTTAGTCCCATGGATGATCAGACAGTCTGGGTGATTCCCTCCGGCTGCATGCCCTCCGCAAGGCCCTGTGGCGCTCCGCGCTGCCCAGCCGGGTGCCTTTGGCGGAGGACGTGGATTTCAAGGCGGGGCCCGCAGCGGCCACGTCGGCGCCGTCGGAGGCACCCGCGGTAGCGCGCTACGTAGGCCAGGTTCGGAAGGTCTGGGACTGGCAGGGGCTGCCGATCAGGTGAGCTAGGTGGTGCCAGGCGGGGTCAATGTATATATGGATATCATTCCAGGCCCATGGGATGTTTGGGTGATGGATTTCATGGGTGGATTTGCTTCGGGCCCTTCTACCCCTAATCCACAGCCCTTCTACTTGGACGCCCAAAACCGCCCATCCTCCCCGATCGCGGGATCAGCCTCGCCCGATCGCGTGGGGCAGACGAGTCGACTCGACTTGATCACATCTCATCCCTGACTCATCCGCGGTTGGGTTCAACACGCGGGTTTTTTCTCCATGGATCGAGCATAGCTGGGGCAAGGGGAGAAAAGCATGTTCACCCGCCGGAACCGGATGCAATCCGTGAACCTTCCGGGCGTGAAGCAGCGCTCTAGCTTGCCCCAGCTTATACGGTCACAGGAGACGCAACACCTGCAGATCCAAGCAGCATGCTGCTGAAGAGCATGTCAAGAGCTTTCAATTTTACCACTGATTCACCGCGCAAACCTCTTGAGGATGGTCGGAGTAACCTCTCATGGCCCTCCAGGGCTACCACAACGGAATTGTGCATTTGGCAGGCCGTAGAAATAGCCCGACTTCAGCTGTATGGTCTTTGATCTACCCTTAATGGCCACCCACTCAGCAGGGATGGCCGGACCGACTGGGTGCCCAGCTAACAACCTGTGCGACGTCTCCGGTGCCGTCCGAACCCCACAGGCCCTTGGAACGCTCGAGTTGGACGCCGATGGGATCGCCAGCGCGGCCTTCCGTGCCTGTGCTGCGGCCGTGTTGCGACCGGAGAGGGCCTTGGTACAGCTGGAGGCCGGACGGGTTTGGGGCGTGATCTGGGGGAGGACGGGGTTTTGGCACCGAGGGTTAGTGGATGAGGCCCAAAGTTGACAGTTACAGTAATGTCAACCTCTGATTAATAAACCGTCCCCCCCCCACATGGTAGGTCAACAAGGTCAAGAAGGTCTGAGATACCACTCATGAGGTCCACCTCCCCTGAATTATCGGCTCAGGGAGCCATCGTAGTCGCAGTCGTCGTCGGTAGTAGGTAGTAGGTAGTAGGTAGTAGTAGGTAGTAGGTAGTAGTAGGTAGTAGGTAGTAGGTAGGTAGTAGGTAATAGGTAGTAGGTAGGTAGGTAGGTAGTAGGTAGTAGGTAGTAGGTAGTAGTAGGTAGTAGGTAGGTAGTAAGTAGTAGGTAGTAGGTAGTAGGTAGTAGGTAGTAGGTAGTAGGTAGT